GTGACTTTCAGGAAAGACTGTAAACCCCAAAGTACCCAGTAAAGAGGAAATGGAGGAAGGGCTTTTTCCAAGTTAAGTTAATAAAACTCTTTGTCAAATGGCCATGCAGTGCACATCTGCCTGTGTCTATGGGGGCTGGGCACCTGATTTTTGCAAAATCGAATAAAGAAAACCTCATTCTCGCTAAAATGAGTACAGATTGGATTAGTTGAGCATTTGTCAGTATAGACGACGTTTCTCACAAGAAACAAGAATCCCAGGGAGGGCGTGGGATAAGTGATGTTACACTGAAGGGATTGCAAACATGGAAATGAAACAAAGTATGTGATTTGTTGAATGTAAAACTGATTATCTAATCTGTAAACCATAAAAGCCTTCACTCAACTCACAATAAAAAGTTTTACAAAAAGATGAAAGTAATACACAGAATCACCAAAAAGAATTGGCTAATGTTCAACCATTTTGAGAGGTAGCAAATGGTCAAGAACTGATCATTGAAGAAGTCTAAACTGTACTGAAGGAACCTGACAAACAAAGCTCCAGGAATTAATGGGATACCAATTGAAATATTTTAATGAACTGACTCAGCACTGGAGGCATTCACTGGTTTATGCCAAGAAATTTGGAAGACAGTTACCTGGCTAACTGATTGAAAGAGATCCATCTTTATGTCTATTACAAAGAAAGGTAACCCAACAGAATGAGGAAACCATTGAACAATATCATTAATAGCACAGGCATGTAAACTTTTGCTGAAGATAATTAAAAAATTTCTGCAGCAGTAAATCCGAGGGGAGTTGCCAGAAATTCAAGTTGGATTCAGAAGCAGACATGGAATTAGGGATAACTTTACTCATGTCAGATGGATCTTGGCTGGAAGCGGAGAATACCAGAAGCATGTTTGTTTGTGTTTTATAGACTATGCAAAGGCATTTGGCTATGTGGGTCATAACAAATTATGGATAATATTGTGACGAATGGGAATTCCCAAATACTTAATTGTGCTCAGAGGAACCTGTCCATAGACAAAGAGGCAGTTGTTTGAACAGAACAAGGGGATACAGAATGGCTTAGAATCTGAAAAGGTGTGTATCAGGGTTGTATCCTTTCACCATACTGATTCAATGTGTATGCTAAGCAAATAATCCAAGAAACTGGATTACATAAAAAAGAATGAGGCACCAGGATTGGAGGAAGACTTCTTAATAACCTTAAATATGCCGATGATATAACCTTGCTTGCAGGAATCATTGAGGGCTTGAAGTACTTACTGATGAAGATCAAAGACTTCAGTATGGATTGCATCTCAATGTAAAGAAAGCAAAAATCCTCCCAAATCATGCAATAAATAGATCATGATGTATGGAGAAAAGATTGAAGTTGTCAAATATTTCATTTTACTTGGATTCACAATCAATTCTCATGAAGGCAAACGCTGGAGAAAAATATTGAAAGTACCATGGTCTGCCAGAAGAACCAATAAATCTATTCTGGAAAAAGTGCCATCAGATTGCTCCTTAGAAGCAACGATGGCAAAACTTTGTCTCTTGTACTTTGGACATAATGCCAAGAGGTACAAATGAAAAGAGGACAACCCTCAATGAGATGGATTGATGCAGTGGCAATCAACAATAGGTTCATATGTAACAACTGTAGGATGGGGTAGGACTGGGCAGCGTTTTCTTCTGTTGTACATAAGCACCTAACAATAGTGTTTGAGAAGCCTTGCTGGTACAGTGGTTAAAACACTAGAATGCTAATAGAAAGGTCAGTGATTCAAACCTACCAGTTTAACAACCACAATGTACTTTGCCAAGTGTTGCACTGTAGTGTAAGCACTAGATTGCTAACCTCAACATTGGCAGTTCAAACCCGCCAGAAATCCTATACAGGGTCGCTATGAGTCAGAACCAATTCCTCAGGATTTAACAATAACAAACAATACTTTGCCAAGCATGATATTCTTTTCAAAGGAATTGTCCTTCCTGATAACATGTCCTAAGTATGCAAGACAAAGTCTCCCCACCCTTGCTTCTACAGCATTCCGGCTGTACTTCTTCCAACAAAGATGTGTTCATCCCCTTAGAAGTCTATGTATGGTATGTTTAATATTCTTTGACAATGCCATAATTACAAGGCATCGATACTTCTGTTTTCCTTATTCATTGTCCAGCTTTCACATACATATGTTGTGACTAAGTGCCCGTCAAGTCTGTTCTACTCATAGTGACCCTGTTTAGAGTTTCTTAGGCTATAAATCTTTATGGTATGGGTTGCATTTCAATGTACAGAAAACAAAAATCCTCACCACTGGACCAATAAACAACATCCATATAAATGGAGAAAAGATTAAGTGTTGATGGTTGATCTGAGCAAAATGAAATCTTTGATAACTTCAATCTTTTCTCCATCAGTAAGTACTTTAAGGCCTCTTTGTTTTCAGCAAGCAAGGTTGTATCATCTACATACTGCACGTTGCTAATGAGTCTTTCTCCAATCCTGATGCCAAGTTTTTCTTCATATAATCCAGTTTCTTGGATTATTTGCTCAGCATACAGATTGAATAAGTATAGTGAAAGAATACATTGATGCACACCTTTCCTACTTTTAAACCATTCGGTGTTCCCTTGTTCTGTTCAAACAATTGTCTCTTAGTCTAGGTACAGGTTCCTCATGAGCACAATTAAGTGTTCCAGCATACTTATATTTCGCAATGAGAAGTACAACGCTGTCTGTGATACAATAATATTCATAGCCTAAAAGGAAGACCAGTTAATATCATTACTATTCAAATTTATGCACCAACTATTGAAACCACTGATGATGAAATTGAAGAATTCTACCAACTTCTTTAGTCTGAAATTAATCACACATGGAAGCAAGATGTAGTGATAATTACTGGCGATTAGAATGCAAAGGTTGGAAACAAGAGGAAGGATCAGTAGTTGGAAAATATGGCCTTGGTGATAGAAACGATGCTGAAGATCACACGATAGAATTTTGCAAGACTAATGACTTACTTGTTCATTGAAAATACTGTTTTAAAACAACATAAAAGACGACTGTACACATGGACCTCAACAGATGGAATACACAGAAATCAAATTGAATACATCTGTGGAAAGAGATGGTGGAAAAGCCCCATATTATCAGCCAGAATACGACCAGGGACAGACTGTGGAACAGACCACCAATTGCTCATATGCAAATTCAGGCTGAAGAAATTTAAAACAAATCCACAAAAGCCAAAAATGACCTTGAATACATCCCACCTGAATTTAGCGATTATCTGAAGAACAGATAGGTGCCGTTAAGTCAGTTCCGACTCATAGCAACCCTGTATAGGGTTTCCGAGGGAAGGCTGGTGAGCTTGAACCACCAACCTTGCAGTTCAAACCAACTGTGCAGTCCAGCACATTAACCTGCAGTGCCAGTATTGGGTTAATGAAAAAGAGGAAACCTTCCAATGAGATGGACTGACACAGTAGCAGCAACAATGGACTCAAACACGACAACAATTGTGAGGATGGTGTAGATTGGGCAGTGTTTCATTCTGTTGTTCATAGGGTCACTGTGAGTCAGAACCGGCTGGGTGGCACGGAACAACACAACATTTGAAACAATATCGACAAAAATGTTATGGAACCTAACAATAACAACAGTGTATA